ATATATATATATATATATATATATATATATATATATATATATATATATATATATATATATATCTTATTAGATGTTTTGGTGTGTAGTATCGCTGTATCTTTTACGAGTTGTACCGTATTTTGACGAGCCCGTAGGGCGAGTCAAAATACAAACAATGAGTAAAAATATAAAGCGATACTACACACCAAAACATCTAATAAGAGATTTATTATCCAACTGTTGTAGTCAATAAATTTATCGATGAAAAGAGAGAGAGTGTGACAGTCTTGCGTGCGCGCGCCGACCTGTCCGGCAAACAGGTATTCTACTGTACAAATAACTGCACAATATCGCTGTATATTTGTACTGTTATTTGGACGGTATTCGCTGCAGTTGGATAATAAACACTTAATTAGTGGTACTGAGGGAAACAATTAGTTTTGTTGTCCCGAGAATCTCGCTGTTTCCCGAGACGAAGTCGACGGAAACATCGAGATGGGAAGGAAAATAAAACAAAAGTAAACGTTATCCAAGGGACCAGTAATTAAGTGTCTTGTTATACAGCTGGAGTTTAGTCTATGGTAACAAGGCAAGAAAAATCAAAGTAACCTCTGGTTAGTGGGAGAGCGGTCAACAATTGCGTGTTTGTTACCTGCCGGGGAGACATTTAGGGTGCGTTCCTTTGGGGTGAACTGGATCAGGATCAGGATCAGTGATCCAAGATCACTCAGATCAAGATCAGTCAGATCATGGTACATCAAAGGAACCGATGAATCCAGTCTGGTCCCGAATTCATCGGTTCCTTTGATGCACTATGTTCCGAGTGATCTTGGACCACTGATCCTGATCCAGATCACCCCAAAGGAAAGCACCCTTAGATTTAGACATTGCCAAGTGACCGTTAATCAGCCGATACGAGCGCGCGTTAGATTCAACTACACTCCAGCTATATAACAATGAATATAATTGATCCATGCAGATGTTTCTGACTATACCATCCTCGTCCATGTACCTTTCGCTCGTGAATGTGACTCTGCGGGATATTTATGTGACTTTTCATTTTTCAGCAGCAACACGATCTACAAATGTAAAGCGGATGATGAAGAATTCAGTCTATCTGAGGTAGTATACAGTGATCATCATATAACGCTAATTCAGATTGGCTGAAAACCATCTTTATGAAAAGTCAAACCATGGCATGTCTCTGATGGACTACGTCCGGTCACGTGAACGAGTTTAAGGCCCCGTCCACACTACGCCGGACAAATTTGGAAAAGCAGCTTTATTTCTACGGGTAGGCCTATCGTCCACAACTATCCGTCACGAAACCGAGCTTTTCGAAAACGCTCTTCAAACCGGAGGAAGTTGAAAACGCCGGCTTTTCGTTTTCGAGGGGACGGAAGACAATTTTGAAAACGGAGCTTTTTGAAAACGATAGCATCACGATTATCATGTGATTTCCCTGACCGAGTTTTCCTCAAACACGAATTCAAAATGACCGGTAATTGTTGCGATTTTAAATTCCTCCGGCGCAGTGTGGACGGCAAACATTTGATGCGTTTTTAAAGCGAAACCTCCGTTTTCAAAAGATGTCGGCACGCTTTGCACAAAATTGTATTTAAGGAGGCTGGCAACAGTTTCTAGCACTTTTGTAACAACTATACTTTGAAGGATGAATACTACCACTGTTTAACAAGTGATGCTACAATAATGGTAGCACACAAATGCCCAATCATTGGTAATAAGTTGCGGTCATCCTTTTCATGTAACAGGTTACCATACCAACAATATGACCTGCTAAAAACACCCTTAATTTTAGCTTTAAGCGCTTAACTCAAAACTGAACTCTGTGAACCCCATTTTTTATTATCGAATTGAGATAAGCATGATAAGATGCAATTTTTTACAGAGTTATAAAAAACTTCGAAAATTTAAGGTGGCTCTGAACCCACTCCACAGTTGCATCTTGTCATGCTTATCATAATTCGATAATAAAAAAATGTTTTTGAGTTACAAGCGCTTAAAGCTAAAAATCACTGGCGTTTTTAGCAGGTCATACTGTTGCTATGATTGTGGCATCAACCTATCTAGAGTGGCTATCATGACCCATAAAAATCTACGTCTTGGAATGTGCTGGAAACTGTTTTGAGCCACCTTAAATCAAATAAAAAGAAGCATTAGGATATCTAAAATTGAAAAATGTGGTCACAGATCTCAAACAACAAACTTAAAAGAAACACAATGCAACCCATCGCAACGTAAAAACGTAACGTAATATAAAACAACACCAAATTCCAATGTATAATTTGGAGCAGCAGTTGTTTTCGTATCTGCTCTTTCAGTTAAGAAAAATCTGTACGTAACACTTTTAATAACCCGTGAGTCGTTGTTGGTAAACCTCTTTCGTTTCCTTATACCAATATTTCACAAATTTTTCACTTGAAAAAATAAGTAGGTATCACGATGGCATTTAGAATGTTTCCAGAACCGAGATAAACGTTTTAAGGGCTCGCAAATAAAAAAGGGCTCCATTCATTTTTAAAACGTACTTGAACTTGAAAAATTGCATAAAAATAAAATTTATTTAGGTGTGAAACAAATGAAGTTTTTACGAAAACTTGCGTGAAAATATGTTTGGAAATTCAGCTTTAAGGTTACTAAATGTTCAAAATCGTCAGTTACACAAAAAAACCAAACTATTCTATGTTACTTGTGTTCTTTAGCTTTTAATGTTGCCATGGTTTTCAGCCAATAAGTTGTAGTTAGCGTTCGTGATATCTCTGCATCGAAAGCAAAAAAATTGAAACCATTACATCAGATTTGCTTGAAACAAACAGACTGATACACCTAGCTCAGAGGACCTCTAAAGTACAAGAATATCCTTGGCATATTCTTTGCATTTGTATGGAGTTTTTTTCTTTTAATTTTCTTTTTTTTTTTTTTCCTGATAATTTCATTTCTAAATTAGTGAAATTGCCGTCGATACCAAGTCCTTGATGTATAAACAAGGAGATACACACACCATGATTTTCGACACATTCTCTTCAAATATGCTTGCAGGCAAAGCTAAATAGAGAGAACATGAAAACCCGACAA